GGCTGCGTCGGGAAATTCCGCCATTAGGAGATTCACTCTTTCAGCTCTTAAGTCTCTATCACTTGATGAACTCATCTTTAATCAGATTCGCTGTGAATTTGTGGAAATCTTCTACAATCTTGTCCTCTCAAGCGACTTTTTACTCGATGTTATGGACGAAATTCGGGGAGAATGAGTTTTGATCATCCCAGTCTTCTCTTCTTACGTTACAGTGGGTTTCAGGATCAGTATCCAGTTGTTAACCTTGTTGAAGCTCAGCTCGAGTGTATGGTGATCACAATCCATCGACACTGTTTTTACTTGGCTCACATGTAAAAGACGACAAGGAAAAGTTGAGACTCACCACGGATTTGCAAATGCTTCTTCCAAATTATGCAAGTTCCAGGTTGAGTAAGCCCAACATATTGGAGCTCTCTCTTACTTGCCTAACTCTTCTTTTTTTATTCATCTTTCCTCAATTTGAAAAGATTTTAAGCATGTCTCAATAAGTTTATGTGAAGAGAGCATGAAAGTTGAAAAGATTGACCATTTTTTTTCTTCTTTTTTTGCAACCTATTAATATATATATTTATTCTGTTATAAATCTATCTATACAAAGAGAAACAATAATAACGCATCAAGTCAAAGCAGTGTAAGGAATACACGAATCCTCACATCCAAACAGATCTCATCATCTCCTTCCTTGAAGACTCTTTATTCGTCGCTGATTTTCACTTCTCCGCAAACAATGGATTACGACTTCAGGAACAAGTCTGGCCCCTCCCCATACGGTCGACCTATGTACGGAACCGCCTCGCCTTCTCCATCTCCGGCGTCCACTCACCCTATGTACGGTTACCCTAAGATCGGCCAACATCCCCCACCGTTCTTCCCTCCTCCGGAGAGAAACTCGTCCTTTCAACACAACTCTCCTCCGTTCCCTTCTTCCTCTTCATGTAAGTCTCCTCTGATCTCTCGCGAATTGATTTCTACGATTTGTAGCTGATGCTCGTTGATTTCGCAGCTGGATTGGGAATCAAGGTGACTCTGAAGCCTGAGTATCGGATTACTCCTCCGGTGAGAGATTTTATATACTTTTTCTAAGTCTTTAGGAAATTTAGATTCAGATCATGTTCGAATTTCCACTGCTCGATGATCTTTGGCTCTGGAATTTAGATTCAGATATTAGACAAACATTCTCATGGACTGTGATTGCAATGTTGCAGCCTCAGTTGTTGCCTCGAGTGGGAGATATTCCTCGGAGCAGTTTTCAGTTCGATTTCGGCCTAGACAGGAAAGTACTTGCAGAGGCAGAGAAAGAAAACCCTGATTGGAGTAAATTTGGTACCGAGAATCCACCGACTAAATTCCCAGAACCAACACCTTCAATGGTAAGCCTCCTCCCTCAAATTTTGTTTTATGTATAAGATTCTTAGAGTTAAGCCAAGGTGATTAATGACACCAAACTATAGTACTAATATGAGCTCTAGCAAGAACAAGTGTGGATGGGAATTTAGGTCAATATTAGATTGTGCATTACAGTGTATGATCCTTAGATTTGCGCTAGCTCTGTCCGGCATTATAATATTATTAATGAGGGATTCCAATGCAGGGTGTAGATCCTGTTGTGATGAAATATTCTGCGTCTGGGCTTAACCGAGAAGCGGTCAACATTGCAGTTGCAAACTATGGTGATAATCCCACAAAGGTGCTTTATCTTCTTTCCTTCTTCTGTACATTCTATTCATGTAGTATTTGCTAATAGATACACAGATTCTAAGCTGTGGTTATAGTAACCGAATGAGTCAATAGTTTAAAACGATGATTAAGCGTCAGTTAAATTGGTGGATGTCTTTGAATTATCGGTTTCCTTTGCAACCAAAGGAGAGTCTAATTACAGTCTGTGGATTCCTCCCTCTGTGTTTCAGGTTCAGGAATTTGCAAATGGATTCACAGCGATACGGGAAATGGGGTTTCCAATAAACGCTGTTGCAGATGCTCTCTTCATGTTTGAGAACGACACTGAGAAAGCATTGGCACATTTGCTCCATGGTTCTTCGTGAATGGACTTTCAACTGTTGTTCTATAGTTTATAAGTAAACATCAAATTTTATGACATAAAAGATTGAGAAAGTATAGATATTGGGTTTTACTTGTGTATATGTTTGATTTGTTTTGGGGAAGATAAACTTTGGTTTGTGAAAATATATATTTCACTGCTTCCATTTAAAAAGCTAATGGTAACTACTAGAGAGGTTTTTAACTAAGAATCTGTCAACATCCAAAACCTAGACAAATGTAAAATGCTTTTTTTAAAAATGGTAAGTTTAGGATACAAAGAGAAAATTGTGTAAAATTAGCCTTTTTCAGACAAATATCATTAGTGTGATTACTTTTCTATAAGCACCAAAGAGCAAAGCCTCACACTTGGATTCGTCTTTGGTCCTACTACACTCCTGCGCATATAGCTTCTGAAACATATGGAAGAAATTTAGATATATGTAAAGCATTTTGTACATGAAATCCAATATATATTCACGTTTGAAAATAGTGATTTAAATTAGAGCAAATGTGCAGTGGAAGATAAGTCTTCCTTAGATATATGTACCTGAGGACCAAGCGGAACAGCAAAACTTTCCTTCATCTACATGCTTAACATCAAGACCCACGAACCATGAACCCGTGCTGACATCATCATGAGCATATGAATGAAGAATGTCTCTGTGACAATCCCATCATCATACAAAACAAAAAAAACACACAAACTCGTTCAGTTTATTTCGCTGTGTGTGTGAATATATCAAAGATTGTGTCATCTCGCATTGTTGAGAGTTGGAACTGACCTATTGATCGATACAAATCTAGCCAATGCGTGCGTTATAACATACATCTCCCCATAAGCATGCCGGAAGTATCTGTGAGATACATAAAACAAGAACAGGTGATTCCTCATCACATGGAAGGAAAGAAACTAAGCCAATGCATTGTTCTGATTATTTAACTTACGCTTTCTTGTCGCCAAATTTCCACCATTCTGGTTCATACCATTTGTGGTTCCTGCCAGAAAAAACAAAATTATGTCATGATCACATAAAATTGATAATATTCCTACGATCCTAATGGTCCTAGCGGTGTTTGGTTTTTAAGCTTAAACTCACGGTTCTGAAAAAACTTCGCCTGACTTCATACAACCAATGTAAGCCCGTGGGTTCTCCAGATGTGCTGCAAGTGTACTACCGAGTGCATCTGCATCGGATCAATTGCAATCATAATGTCAGCAAAATGCTTACATAGAAACTCGTTGACCTTATAACTTTCACAGAGGAAGGGGTTATAGACCTTTAACGTGGCATGAAATAATGTGTAAGAACATCATACTCTGTATTTCACAGCCTAAATATAGGTTTAACAGTAAACTTCTCAATTCCTCTCTATATAATCACCACACCAAAAGATGTTACCTCTATTTAAATAGTTTCAAAGTTTGAATGCTCTTTATAAATTCAACTAAGATAGTGATGTTAGAAACACAAGAAGAATGGCATTCACAAGCCAACTACGTTATCCATATAACCCAAG